AAGCTTTTGAAAATAATATTATATTTTGGTTTAGGTCAAAATATAATTTGTAAACCTGAAGAGTCAGTGCCAGTGCCTCACCAGCCATGAACCTCACTGCACGTCACTGCAGAAGCTTATATATAGACATCTAAGTTTTTGTGCCCCACCACTTTTGTACATATAAAAACGCCACTGCGAATGGTGCATATAAATGTTAACGTCATAAACGTTAGCGCACAGTAATAAGCATTACATGACAAGTATTTACGGATTCAAACGGCCGGAAAACTCCCGTGTGTTTCTGGCTTAGCGGCAACTTTTTACCAATGCAAATATGCGCGAACGTTAAAAGACAACACATTGGCATTCATCTACTTTTATACTACATTATAAGGGACTGTCTTGTTAAGAGTAATAGCAGAGTTTTCTTACCTTTTCAAAAGCCGGTCTGAGTACTAGAACTAAGTCGGACAACCAATGGGTGGACCACAAGATGAAAACCAAAATGCCATAGAAATGAACGGGAGGGGCGGGACTCTAAGTAAGACTAAGTGAGAGTGATCAGGCCTGCCGCATTCATCATACAGTGATCCCCAGTGGATCTTCTGGGTTGAGAAGGTCTCAGTTGGGGGGCCGGAGCCTGTCATCCAATCAGATCAGAGCCCCTTAGATCGATTAAAGCCAGTGTACCAACCACCCAGATCCCCCCACCCCAAATACTCTTTGACACCCCCTGCATGCTTGATATGAAGGTAAAGAGATGTTATGAACTTGTCAAAGCAAGGAATAAGCAGTCAGAGATATTCAAGTTTAAAAATACCTGTTCATTTATTTATTTACAAGTTTTACAAATTAAAATTAGGACATCTCAGTCATTGAGCACCTCTCCCTCCAAGGACATTATGACTAATTACTCGTTTATGTATTATGTGTATTTTCAATGCAGTGTTTTTATATGTATTGTTCAAACTATTTAAATAAAGTTTTCTAAAAAAGCAAAAGGACATCTCCTTCCTTTTTGAAACCTGCTGAACTTCAATTGAAGTGCAACAACAGCAGAGGAAGACAGCACGAGTGTTGGAAACTACAGGAAGTAAATCCAAACAGATATTTAAGTTTGAACTCTTTATTTGAAAAATATATTTACATTATATACAGCATCTTATCGCATCTCTTGGTAGAGGGCGCTTGCCAGGGCCAGGCAGGGGCTCCTCTGCTCGGGCTCCTCTCCTTCGGCTCGGCAATTTCCTTCTCTGGAAGAAGGGCCTCCTCTGCCGCCCGGGGGGGCCTGCAGCACATGGATCCCAGCGGTGAGGATGATGTTCTCCTGGGCCGATGTCCACCTCTTGTGCCTGCAGAGTGAACACAGAGGATTAATAAGAGATGTTGTCGGGGCCTCAGAAGATTGTCCTGTGCGAATGAACAGACTCACCACTGAGAGAGGGTCTGCTGGTTCACCCCAAACAGCTGGAGGGTCGTACCTGGCTACGAGCGCTGGACTTCTGGAGACCACACATCTGATCCGGTCGTACTCCAGAATCACCAGAGCCCAGCGGCTCAGGTGGTGCCCCCACTTCATTCTGCTGCTGGGGTTCAGCTGGCAGAGGAGGATGAAGATGGCCTCCACCAACCGGCTGGTGTCGGGCCACGTGGCGGCGGCCTGTTCCCACCATGCAGCTGGAACCAGAGGAGAGAGGTGAGTGGATATAAAACCTGTAAGAGAGCATACACTGCAGGGGGCGCTTCACCTACCGTTTCATGCTCTCCAACTCGGGGACGGCCTCTTTGTTGGCTGTGGAGGTCTTTGACTTCTTGAACCCCCCCCTTGTCAGCTGGGCCCTGTAGCGTGACGGATATCACTACACGGCTCTTATCCACATCCAGGAGGTTCTCCCAAGACCCACGAGCACCTCCAACTCCTCCTGGGTGATGGCTTCCCTTTCCGCAGAGCTCCACCAGACCCTGGGCCAGCTGATCAACCTGCTGGTTGCCGGGGGCTCCAACAGTACCAACAGTGGCCTGATGTGAAGGCCCAGGAAGAGGTGGAGGATGCTGCAGCAGCTGACGAGCGGACCGCGGAGCAGGAGGAGGAGGAGTTGCTGTGCACAGCAGTAAAACACCACTTGACATACCAAATAGATGTTATTATATAAATCTTAATAACTACACGAAAGCAAAGACTTACCTAAAGCAGCCTCCCCCAACAGATGGTCCAATCAGAGTACTAGAACTAAGTGGGACAACCAATGGGTGGACAACAAGAGGAAACCAGAATGCCATAGAAATGAACGGGAGGGGCGGGACTCTAAGTGAGATTTAAAGTGGACCTATCATGCTATATTTAAATGATATATTGTAGGGCCACACCTATATAAGGTATATTTATACGTTTCTTTTTTCAAAATACCAAACAGATCATGCATTTTAGCCATGCTTCATTTCGCTCTATTTGCTGTTCTCCAGGCCTGTTTTTGCAAGGGGCTGATTCTGTGACTTAGCTTGAGCTGCAGCTGACCACGCCCCCCTGCAGAAGAGGGGGGCGACGGCCCCAGCACGAGCGTCATGTTCCCATGATTGTTTTGAAAACTAGACGAGAAGAAACATGTCCTCCCTGAGAAATGCATGCGTTCAAGCGTATTTTGATGAGTATGATCCAGAATCGGTCATTGAAGGAGACGAGGTTTCGGTGGAAGTGCAAATATCTCGGTTGCAGCAGGACCTTTCTGAATGGTTAGTTGACACACTTTTGTCCCTATTTATTTTACGTTAACTCTGTTTGTTGTTACGATGCTTGCTACTTATTCCGTTCATATTTTGGCTAATTAGCAAGAATGAAATGTGTAGTTTGTAACGCAAAAACAGCGGTAGACTACATATATCATACAATAAACATTTATTCATTTATTGACTTCTTTATACAGGTGTACATGTGGAAATTGCGCCACAATGCCTTCGGAACCTGAGAATGTGTGCTGCATTGAGATACCACAGGTAACATTTGTGATAGCTTCACTAAGTTCTCTGTTTAGAGAATACATTTTTCACATGTCATTCAATATATGTTTATCTCACTAGGTGTCAAGACGGATGCAGGAACTTGAGGACTCGGTGCGTTGTATGGTGGACCATCCTGGATTAGAGCCTGTATGCCTAAATGTGTTCTCCCTGCAGAATGCATTGAATATATACAGAGCTGAATATGGGAGACTACAGATGAGGCAAATACAGCAGTGAGTGGTTTGTTTCTTTTGACTGAATTTGTAAAACGTATGCTAATATTGTTCATGAAAATAAATACTGGTGTATATGGTTTTATGCAATCTTTCATTTCATTCTGTCATTGTACATGGCGTTACTATTATGATATACTACACAGCAATGGCATAACATACCCATTTGTTGATGACAAAAAAAGTCCACACACAACCTTATGCTTTTGAAATCAGCATATACTTTACCCATCCAACATGAATAATCATGACACATTTGATATAAACTGTCGGAACTTTATTGTTAAAAGCAAAGGTTCTTTGAACCCATAAAAATAAAGTAAATGTACTTGTATTTTACATAAATGACATAGGCTTTTCACTAAATATTATTTGAAATGATTTCAGGCGTCACATGTATCTAGCCTACAGAACTTTTGTGAGCTGGTGTTGGGGCTTCCTTGGACGCAGGATCAGAGTGGTGATTCCGGCCTGCGTTGTCCTCAGGATTCGCAGGGAGTTTCCTGATCCGCAAAATGTCTATGTTGGGTTCAGACAGTCAAATTGAACCGTGTAGCATAACCTGCGATGACCTCCTCCCTGTCAGGTCGCTCATATTGGGAACACAGGTCCTCTGGGATGGGTATCTTCAAAAGCTCCTGTATGAATGGTGCAGGGTCCACAAAGACTTGGTCGAAGATGAGGTCCATCAAGTTGGCAACGTAGCCTGTGCAATATTAAAAAAAGCAAAACAAATATTTGGTTTAGATTTGTGTATGCATGTGAAAAAACTGAGTGTACTCTTTTACTTCTGCCATTGTTGTTGTAACGCTACAGTTTTTTTGAAAGAGATTTGAAATGTGAAATATCCAATGTAAGGTGTACATTTTGTTGTGTAAATAGTTGTATAATAAATATTTTAAACACTTACGGAATGTGGGGTCAGTCTTTATGGGTTTTGCTCTGCATTCTCCCTTCCTGGCCTTGGGAACTGCAGTTTATACAGAGGGTTTCCAGTGGATGTAGTGGCTTGTGCACGATCAGCGTTTTCATTGTAGCGCAGGGCTGCCAGGTAGTCTTTAATTTCCGTAATGAGAAAAAAAAATGTAAATAATAGCAAAGGATGTACAAATTGTCACTAATTATAAGTAACTATGGTTTATTTTACCTGCACAACATTCCAAGAAATGGAAACACAACATTCTTTGGAGCAACCCCCGAGGATACTGCCCATTCTTCTCTGCGAAAGCAGGGGGGCAAGGAGAGGAAAGGGGGCCCCGCTCCGCGGTTCGATCCCCAGCTGTGGCGGAGATGAGGAAGAGCTCCCCTCTCAGCCATGAGAGCCAGCACTGACTGACACATAGTGACTCTGAAACAGGGGTTTTTGGTAAATGATGATCATTGTAATAAACTACAAAGACTACGGTATACTATCTGTAAAGTGCTGTGAGATAACATCTGAATCAATAAAACTGATTTGATTAAAGAAAGGTTTGTACTACAGAGCTGTATTATGATGCACGTTATATTTATATTTATATATATATATATATATATATATATATATATATATATATGTGTGTGTGTATCATCCCATCATCTCTACTGTGCTTATTTATGTACCATGTTGTGTTTTATTGACCCGTGTTGCAGTGAAATATCAGACGTTGTGTAATGAATTCTAAATAAAGTTTCCACACAAAGTTCAGTTCAGAGTTTTATTTTAAAATAGATTGAAATAAATAAAGACAAAAGACAATTAAAGAAAAAAGTGGCATCATTCCCCCCCTCGGTCCCTTTTGAGTCTTTTCATCTCCACCCGCCATTACTCCACAGTTCTCCCACCGGCAGCCGCGCAGTGAGACACACCTGCAATGCGAGTGTGGCCAGTGTCGATCCTCTTGGCCTGGCCACACTTGCTGCAGGTGTATTGACCTGTCTGCTGGCGGGCTTTGCTCCAGGGCGACGGCCCACCCCTTGCAGCATCAGCCTCCGCCGCCTTCCTCTTCCTGTAGGCCGTTGTCCTGGGCACACGAAGAGGAGGAGGCTGAGCAGCAGGGGCAGCCGTGAGAGGGCCAGCCGGGAGCAGTAATCGAAGAGGAGGAGGAGGAGGGGGGGGAGGAGGAGGGGCAGCCATGAGAGGGACACACCTGGGTGAGTCAGACGGATCACTCGACCGGGCTGCTGTGCCGGTGGAGGGGGTATCTGGCTGGAAGACGGTCGGGGTATCTGGCTGGAAGACGGTCGGGTCCTCCACGTCTTCCTCGATACCCTCGTCCACCTCCTCCAGCGACTGGATGGCAGCAGCCTCGTCCGGAATGTCGGGGTCCAAGCTGACGTCCTCAAGCACTTTGCCTGTCTGCCTGTACAGGAACTCCACCCCGATGAGCTCCCCTGTCACGCGGCAAAAGACAGGAAGCAAAGGATTTGCAAAATGCTCCTTTTCCTCACAGTTCTGATGTCTGAATAAAGTGAATAGGGTTTTCACATCACCCACCTGTGTACTCGACAGGCTTGGTGAAGTCCTTAACCAGCTGACGGCCAAGCACCCTTTGGCTCTTCTGGTTAAGGACGTGCTTGAGGTGGCCACTGTAGGAGTGCAGAGGCTCCACCTCTCCCGCAGCTGCCGCTGCACGGTCCTCATTCCACCTCACCAGTCCATCGACCAGTCCATCGACCAGGAACGCCTGGAAGTGCTTGGCACTCGCCTGCGTCCAGGGGCGGACTGGGACACAAATTCAGCCCGGGATGTTCAGACGCACCGGCCCACGCACCGGCCCACGCACCGGCCCACACACCGGCCCGCCGCCCACGCATGCGGGCCACCCTTGTAGCCTACAGATAAATTATACATCTACTATGCTCATATATACTGTTATGGCTAGATTCCCCAGAGTCAAGCCATAACATAAAAGAGATGGACAACAAGAGTAAGGTGCAAAATGAAACCTTCCTTTATTTAAGGTTTCTTAAAAATGTCCGTGTCATGTGTGAAGTGTGTCAAAGTGGATATGTAGGAGTCAGTAACGTGTGAATGTACGGGATTAAGGACAAGTACAGCAAATGGGTATAGTCAAAAATGGTTGCCTGTGCCTGGCTGTAAACAAAAAGAAGTGCCAATGCACAAGCAGCTCAGATATTCAATCAATGCCATGTGGTCTAACCAACAAATGATTCTAATAGTCATTATGAGAGCACTTGTCCAGTATTAAATAACCAACTTCAAGGAATACAACAGGCACATACCCTCTCAGAAACCCCAAAACAAAGAGACTGTTCTACCTTACATCACCAGCAGGTGTCGCAGCAGCTCACTTGTCTCTGCGACCCTGTCAATCACTCCATCAGTGTCCAGAGCCATCAGAATCTCCTTCTCTGTGCACATGAGCATGAATGCCTCCATATGCTCCTGGGTCAGGGTGGTCCTCAGTCGATTCTTCACATATTTCAGTGTGGAGAAGGTCCTCTCACAGGCAACTTGACTGAATGACAGTGTTAGGAGGAACTTGTAGCCCAATCCAATGACATGATAGGCATCAGTCAGCAAGTTGTACTGTGACAAGACATGATGCACACAAATAGCACAGTTTTTGCAGTAGTTGCAACTGTTCTCTAGCTCCAGGTCTTCTTCTCTTCCATCCTCCCCTTCGGTTGTCCTGACATTGTATGCATCCAAATGGGGCATCTTAAGTCTTTCCCAACAGTTGGCTAGGCTTGACAGCTCAGCCTGCAGTATTCCAGCAGTGGCTCTTTCATCATACTTCTGCAAGCATTCGCTCAGCTTTTGCAATGCTTCTGTTGGAAGGCCCATTTCCTTTATTTTAGGGAAATTCCGAGGATCAAGACATGCAAAGTCTGCGCAGAGTGGTCCATTTGCAGCATAGCGACTCTGAATGCTCTCTGTGACTGTGTCCAGAATTACATTGTGGACCTTGATCCTGTAGTCTGCCTCAGCGTCTGACACAGGCTCATCTTCAGCCAACTCACCTGGCATGGCCTTCTTTCTCCTGACCCGTTTCTCTGGGAGCACAGCTTGGACCACAACTTCAGTCCTCCTTCTCCTGCAGCTTGGCATTGGCCCACTCCACAAATGCATCTGCTGCTCTTTTCACCTCATCAAAACCCCTGACACACTTGTTGAGGCTCTCTTGGGTCCCTATTACTAACCGATGGGCAGTCAGTAAGTCCATGCCGCTGGTTTGGAGATACTTGGAGAGGGGTGACGTGATTTCAAATATTCGGAGAAAGATCTGAGCGGTCAGTATTGTCTCGAACCTTAGGAGAGACTCTGTGTACCCCCTGGCTTTTGCTCTGACATGTGGCTTCATGGAGTCATCTTCTTCAATCCTTGTTAATGTTGACACCAAGTCAATAAACAAGGCACGATTGCCAAAACACCCAAATATCTTGCTCAGAGCCTGATCCTTGGCCCACCACCTTGTCTCCCCGATTGGAGACAGCCGTCTGTGTCGTGTGTCTTCACTCACTTCCTCCCACATGTTCATACGCTTGTATGACTCTCTGATGAATACAGCAACATCATTCAGAAGTGAGAAGAGCGATGCACTGGCTATCACAACACCTGTGGTGTCTCCTAGCACAAGGTTCAGGACGTGTGCGTAGCACCAGATGTGCACTTGGTTGGGAGACTCTGCGGAGAGCAAGGTGGAGAACCCCTTGTATTGGCCCTGCATGTTTGCCGCTCCATCGGTTGAGTTTCCCACACAATTCCGAAGATCAATGTCCACCTTTGCCAGAGTTTTCTTCAGTAGCTCTACAAAATATTGTCCAGTTGATGACTCACAGTCAACCACAGCTATGAGCCTCTCGTGGACCACATCTGTCACATACCTGAGGATAACAGCACACTGGTCTGTAGATGTAACATCCTGTGTGGTGTCGATCTGCACAGAAAACATGCCTGCCACCCTTACTTCCCTAGATATGGTTTCTTGGATTAAGTGGCTGATGACATTGATCACTTTGTTCACTGTAGTTTTTGAGAGCAGAGTGACAAAGGACCCTCTGCCTTTAGACCCAGTCTCATGCAGCTTCTTGCTTTTTTCAACACATTGGGTGACATGTTCCTGCAGGCAGACATCGTATTTGGTTTTTCTCGTGCTCTTCTATTCTTTGATGTACATGCTTCCAAGATGTCATTCCTCCTTTGATGAATGAGCTGTCATTTGCAGATGGCTTTGCATACGCTAAACATACTGTACAGTAGAGTGAGTTGGATTTCTCACAATATGTAAGCCACTTTCTATTGATTCCATCTTTATTGTTGTAGATATTTTTAACTGTTTGTTTTGGGGGTTGTTGAGGGTGGTATGCGAAAAATGTATTTATATCTTTAGCCTGAGGCCGGGCAAAGTAATCAAAGCTCACTTCATCAGTCTGCATCTCCCTGTCTTTTGGTTCTCCTGTGCTGGACCCTGCAGCTGTCTCACTTTCCTCAGGGTCAACTGTACTTGACCCTGCAGCTGTCTCCCTTTCCTCAGGATGAACTGTACTTGACCCTGCAGCTGTCTCACTTTCCTCAGGGTCAACTGCATAAGAAGAACATCAGCAATCAATTAAATTACCAATATTATATCAATATCATGCACAGTAATGTCAATCACTAAAATGAATGCAATAGTGAATTGGCCACAAATCTCTGTGTCCTTATTATTTAATATTAATATTATTAAATATTAATATTATTTAATATAATTATTTAAAATTATAATATTAATATTATATAATTTAACTTGGAATATCATGAGCATATGACTCTATCCTAATGCATCTAACCTTATGCACAATATAATAGTCTGGCCAGCCCTGCAGCCCATTCTAGGTTCTGATAGGCTCTCTAGGTTGGCATTCTAGCTTCTGACTGGCTGTCCAGGTTGTCAATCACAGCCGTGGGCATTTTATACTAGTCGTAACATTGCTAAACTTTTTTCATGACGGTTTTCTCAGTTAACTAATGCTATTGCTAACAGTAACATACATTAACACAGCCCTGCACACTGCACACTGCACCTGCTGTCATTATATGCCGGGTCTGTGGTTCATCATCTTCCTTCTCATTCTCCTCCTCATTACTGCGACAGGGAGCGGGAGCCCTTCTACTAAACAGCTCTGTGATTTTCGAAAATTGTCCAGCTTCTTCCTGTAGCAATTTTCGTTTTTTCATTCTGGCTTTTTCAGCCCCACCCTTTCTTTTTTTACTGTTCTCCATCTTTTCTTTCTCAATTTTGCTAGCTAACTTACTGATCAATCATCAAACGAAGCTAGGGAGCTTGTCTGATGAGTGCGGACCTCTGACGCGGGCCTCGCCCTCTTTCCAATTGGAAGAGACGACTCATCTCTCCCGGCCCAGCCCCTTCAGTTCATTCAGCCTACTTTCAAAAACATAAGATTGACAAGTTTGACAACCTATCAATAGCCCCGTTTACATGGAATGTTTTTCCGGTCGTATCCGATCACTAAATAAAGCGATCCACGTTCACTCGTGGGCCAAGCATTAAGCTGATTACAATTTCACCGGTACCGAAGTGGGCCGATCGGAGTGGGGCAGTGGGCCGCGTCGAGTGGTCCGACCGGCCCACTTCGGTACCGGGCTACCGGCCCATCGGGATTCGTCCCGAACGTCCCGATGGCCAGTCCGCCCCTGCCTGCGTCCCTGAGGAAGCAGGTATCAGATCAGAAATGAATTGACATTTGCGTGAAATGTGAATACATGATAGACTTTATCACAAGCTGTACCTGGGATGAACCGGTTGAGGTGGAGGCGGAAGGACTCCAAAGATGTGGAGCCCCTCGCGCAGCGATAGACCGGCAGGATGACTCCGCCCTTTGTCAGCCTGCCGGTCTGCGTGTACAGCTGCACGCCAGGTGGGTCCTGTATGCAGCTGAGGTGGGGCCTCTGCGTACTCCATATGTCCTGGATGCGGAGAGGGTCAAGCAACGGGATGTCCAGGTTGTTGCGTCCTGCCGTACCGCCGAAGGTTTGGAGGAGGTCCTGGATCAGGAGCGCCGTCTCCTCCGCCCCACGCGTCCGACGACGGCAGTGGAGCCTCCACTCCTCCCTGGTGATCTTCTGGATCACCTCGGCGTCGGTCAGGCCGACCATCCCGTGCTTCCCCTCCAGCTGGGACCGCTTGGCTTCAGTGAGACGGCGGGCATCTCCGGGTTCCACCTCGAAGATGCACAGAGACAGCTGCCTCATGAAGGCGGGGTACAGCTCGTGGCTCCCTGTGGTGACACCTGCTGCGAAACGTCGCATCAGGTGCCAGATGTCCAGTCTCACCACAAGCTGTCCCCACTCCTGTGAAAAGGAAACAAAAGTCTGTCTGATTATTAGAGTACAATTTTTCTCAAATACTGTTTTTATGATGTTGTAATTATCTTGAACAACACCTAGCGTGGCTTTGGTCAATAGTCATTTAGTGTAAGATAAATAATATTGCGATAATTCTACTATGATTATCAGTACTAGTATTGACAGGCCAGACCTGAAACAAGGCAGCTGTCTTTGACATGCCGTCTCTGTTGCAGCAGTCCCGATCCACGTAGATCAGCTGGGGGGGTGGTACCTCGGCGAGTCGGTACCGCCTCATCAGTCCGGCCGCCATACTGGACAGGCCCTCGGCGCCCTCGGAGCAGGTGAGGACGCTGATGAGGACCTGCCCGTATTCGTTACCAACGTTGGTAACCCAGGCGGCCGTGTCGAAAGCGATACCGGCGAGCTTCTTCGTCACCTGGACACAAAGAGAGAAAGAGAGAAAGAGAGAGGAGAAAGAGAGAAAGAGACAGAGAGAGAGAGACAGAGACAGAGAGAGAGAGAGAGAGATTTCAAATGTGAGTGCATAAACACACGGCGGCTGTAAAAAAAAAATGAAATTGTGACCAACTATACTGACCTTCTTGGTGGAATCCATCTTAAGGATGGATCCGAAGGTGGACGTGATCCTGGCCTTGTACTCATCCAGCCGCGTCATTATGTCATAGCCGTAGACTGTCAGCAGCCAGATGGGTGAGGGCAGAGTGGGCATTTGGGGTGGTGGTGGAAACTGCCCCCTCACGCTGCACAAGGCCAGGAACTGCTCGCACACGCCGAGGTACTGGATCGCTCTCCGCATCCAGGCGTCCGAGTGCTGCTCCCGCAGGGTGTTGCACAGCTGAGTGGCACTGTTGCCCAGAGTGCGGGACTTCAGCTGTGTAACCACCCTATGGTCACAGGACAGCCTGCAGAAACACAAAACAAGCATTATATACAGCTCCGGCATCACATTCATTGCATTTATTTATATATACGGTATGTTGTCAATTCCTCTCACTTGTACGTAAGTACTGCTGGGAACTGGCAGCTGTAGGTGGGGGCCAGCTGCCTGATGATGCCCTGTGACCACCCGCCGACCTTCTTCTTGCATCGACGGCACTCCAGGTACTCAGTGGCCATGAGATACCAGCCGTCGATGTCCAGGACCCTCCGGATGGTCCTGTACAGCCCAGCCTTCACCATGGACCCGGTGCATGAAGGCTGGGGGCATGTCAGCTGCAGACGCCAGATCCGGTGTGGCATCCAGAGAAACAGCCGACATGCAAAGAAGGGGTCGGGGGACGCGGGAGGCTGGTGGTAGATCGGCCGGGATTGGGGGGGGCTCCACCACAGATTCAAGTCTGTGATGAGGCTCGGCCTCCCCCACTGGTCCCTGGTGAACAGCACCCGACCGATCCACTGCTGCTGCTCTGCAGTGAGAGCTGCCCGCCATGACTCGGGCAGCAGCTGGAGAGAGAACCAGAGGAACGTAAAGGGCACTTATATCTGAGGACATCGCTCCAGGGCAGCAGATGAGCAGCGTTTACTTTGACAGACAGTCTTACCTCATGTGGCGGAGGAGGGAGGAAGGCTGGCCCCGGCAGCTCCTCCTGTCCGGGAGTAGCAGCACCGGGGGCTGCCGTGGCTGCGGGCGGCGGTGGCGAGGAGGGAGCTGGTGACTCTGCAGGCTGGACTCCTGCTGGAGGTCGCAGGGGGTGGTGTTGTTCCTGCGTGGCCTCCAGTAGCTCCTCGTCCGTGGGCTCGACAGAGACACCAGCCCCCTTGTGTGGTGCGGAGGAGGAGGTGGCGGGAGGTGGATGGAATGAGAGAGGGGCCTGTACATCTGAGGCTTAAAGATAAATCAAACTCAACTTTATGTCAATCTCAAAATATGTTTGTACCCACAGAAAGATTGAAATACTGTTTCCCACAGTCCCGAGGTATAAAAAAGACACACAAATGTTTAATTAACATGAAAGAATTAGATGTTAGTTGTGTTGTGTTAATATTGAGCCACAGAAAACTAAAACCTAGTGGAGCACAGAAGGTTGTTTAAAGAGAGAAAGTGACGACGAGACAAAACAACGACACCAGATTTGACTTGTTGAGGGAGCGATGCAGGCAGCGAGCGGTTGGAGGGGTTACACGGGTTTACGAGGGAGAGGATGATGAGCTTACTCTACATCTACAAGCACTCGTTAGTGATGATTTGACAGGCGATTGGTCGGCGTGAAGCTTGGTGATTTGAGACTTGCAAAAGGCGGATAGTTTTTCATTAAAGCAAAATTACCTGCCAGGTCATATCCTTCTGAATACGGACATATTTATAGAGCAAAATAAAGGGAGAAGGGTCAAAAATGAAGTCAAACTTTCAGTTATCAACAACATGTTGCATGAATGCTACTTCAGTTTTTACTTACACTCCTCCATGTCAACTACCGCCCTGATCAGCTCTTCATCGGAAGGCTCCTCCGATGGCTTGGAGGGAAGAGCTGATCTGAGGGAGGCTGTAATTGCAACGTGAGTGAGAAGAAAATATACAGTGAACATGAGAAATACAAATAGGGTTAAACTGTGCATTTCATTTAGGCTGGACTTGCCTGGAAATGCAGGCTTAGGGTCAACCAGCTTATTGATCTGTGCCTGCATTTCCACGGCAGGCAGAGAACGCCGCCCGGACACGAAGGCCGCAAACGCTGAAGCAGGCCTATGAGACAGAACAACATCTAGAATGCACAGCATGAAAAACACCAACGTGTCTTCAGAAAGGTCATCCAGGTACGTCAAACTCAGACAGCTTTAAAATAAGACACGTACTTTGATGTAGTCCTCACTCTCTGGCCAGAGACTGTGCTGCTGCTGGTTCTGCTGCTGGTGGTGCTGGTGGATGGAGCAGCAGCAGCAGCAGCAGCAGCAGCAGCAGCAGCAGAACCAGCAGCAGCAGCAGGTCTCTGTCTGTCTCGGCTCTTCGTGTAGCGGACGGCGTTCTCCATCTGCTGGCGGGTGTGGGAATCTTCCTCCGGAGGTAGTTGACAAATCTACAAAAATCAGACAATTTGTCACGTGATTCTTATCAACCGAATTAGAATCCACATGTATGTATATATATATATATATATATAAATAGAGAGATAATACGACATACCGGATTTTTTTTGGGGTCTACAGAGTTGTACAGGCCGTCCAGGGTCTCAAATTTAAAGTCCCCGAAGCCAACAAGGGCCTGTCCCTCCTGACCAGGCAGGAGGGACTTTGCCCGCGCCTCCTCAAACGCCCGGTGGAACCTGACTGCCTCCACAAAGTCAGGGTACGCTGAGGAGTAGCGGGTGAAGGCGTCCTGTAAATTCACAAATAAGGTTAAAACTGTTGTCACTCTTTTAATGGTATTGTGAATCAGACTGAAGGACTCCACCTTGTTGACCATCAGCGGAGACTGAGACCCTGTCCTCTCTCGCTCCTTCTGGTGGGAGGCGACCAGATTGACGGCGTAGCCCACGTCGTTCTCCAGGAGCCAGTGGAAGATCTTTCCCTGGTACTGGCCGAACTGGACCTTCCACCGGCTCAGGACGAGGGTGGCGTTGTCGGTGGAGCCACCCTCGGAGGAGACGTGGGCCCAGGCCTCCGCGTCCACCTCCTCTTCTTTGCCCTGTATGGGGCTTGGCCGGCTGCTCGCCGGGGGGCGAGGGCGCTGGCTTCGGCCGTGGCCTTCAAGAAGAGGGTCCCGTTAGGTGCCCTTCTAAATTCTGGGTGTTCCATCTACACAGAGTTGGACTCAGTTAGACCACTACCACAAATACAATGAAGTACTTTACTGTAGGCTACTATGAAGTAATTTTACTGTGTACTTTTTCAGTTATTCTCTGTCAAACTCCTGTGGCAGAAAATCATTTTATCTCTCTCATCTGAGCTCCGTTACACACACACAGGAGCGGGACATCCTCCTCAACCTGTCCGCCATAAATGCCTCAGAGGACAGATACCTGAACCGTAGCGTCCAGCTAGCTTAGCCGCTAGCTTAGCGATAAATACACACAGCGTTGTATTGTCCTCCCCCTGTCGGCCCTAACAGCTTCAGAGGGTGGATACCTGAGCTCCGTAGCGTCCCGCTAGCTTAGCCGCTAGCTAAAGGTAAACACACACAGCAGTTCATCAGCGGTTCACAAAGTACCGTACAAACACTACGGTTAACTCAGTATGACTAATCTCGGACATAGAAGTGCGTTTGTAACAGTGTTTAAACGCGTATTTGCTAATAATGAATGCACATTTTACTCACAGTGTCGCTTGGTTGAAGTGTCAGTGTGAAAAAACAATGGCGGACGGAGGAGCGCTTGCTGAGAATTATGGAACAAATCCGCCTCACCGATTGGACGCCAAAAGCCCCAAAAGTTTGATTCTCTCTTATGGAACATATCCGGCCTCCCTATTGGGCGAGATATGGAACTAAGCCTGGACAGCCATTGGTCAGAAATTGGAACATTGGAACAGAGAATAACAGCTCACCGGTAGCGCAAGGATGACACGCAAATTCGTGAAGCGTTCCTTATTGTTTCCTTCCTGTAGCTCTTTTCTATGATTTAATATAATTTTTTAAAGATTTGATATGATTTGGGATGATTTGGGGTGAAACAGCGCCCCCATGGCCGCATGTGGTACTGCGGCTGCAGAGCCTGCTCTGATCTCCTCTGCACTCTGCTCCTCTTCACTCCTCTGCCTTTCTTTATAACACTTAAACATTTAGTTCACTAGTTTCACTTCGAGTAGTGGATTATGCTTTTAACTTGTGGAGGAGAGACACCACCTCTGAGCTCTGTGCCTTCATGACTTCTTCTGTTTGCATCTCACATTTCTGTTATTACAATAAGCAGGATTTCATCTAACAGGAGTCATCTGTGCATGTAAACAGAGCAGCATCTGATCACAGTAAATACAGACCTGAGAGGTTTAGAAATCTGGATGCTGCACAGAGTCTAAAGTGCCACTTTAGCGGGACGTTACGGAGCTCAGGAGACCTCCGCCCTCTGATGCATTTAGGGCTGACAGGTTGAGGAGGATGTCCCGCTCCGCTGTGCATCAGAGGGCGGATACCTGAGCTCCGTAACGTCCCGCTCACATGGCTGTCTGCAGCATCCAGGGAAACACACACAGCGGAGCGGGACATCCTCCTCACCCTGTCAGCACTAAATGCATCAGAGGGCGGACTCCTGAGCACCAGCATGACCCCTTAAACACTTCCACCTCCGTGACCTGGCACAGTCCAAGTGTTTCCAAGTGTAGAGCTCGTAAAGCTCCGTTGTACTAACATCGATTACTTCATCAGCGTTTCACAAAGTACCGTACACACAGCACGGTTAGCTCAGAAGTAGGCCTATGACTAATGTCGGACATAAAAGTGCGTTTGTAACAGTTTTTACACGCGTATTTGCTAACAATTAATGCACATTTGACTCACAGTAGGATAGGCCTACTGCCCATTCTTCTCTGTGAAAGCAGGGGGGCAAGGAGAGGAAAGTGGGCCCAAAAAGTGAAAATAAAAAATAAAAAAGTGAAAGTGGGTCCGCGGTTCGATCCCCAGCTGTGGCTCCCCTCTCAGCCATGACAGCCAGCACTGACTGACACATAGTGACTCTAAAACAGGGGGTTTAAATTAAAGGGTATAAATTATAAATGTATAATCTGTGAAAAATTCACAAATTTCTCACAAACTGAGCAGCCAAAGGGTTTCTCTCCTGTGTGGATTTAGATCTCTTCTATATCTAAAAGCTTTCTTACAGACTGAGCAGCTGAATGGTTTCTTTTCAGCACTACGTCGTGGATCACTGACAGATTCTTGTCTATTTTTCAGTGAGTTTGAGCCTGAGGCAGGTTCTCTGGTCTCCTTCCAATCAGCACTGTGTTCAGAAGAGTCTCCAGTGTCGTCCTCAGTCTTTGGTTGTAAACTGCTCTCTGGATCTGAGTTCGAGGAGGAGGAGGGGCAGCCATGACAGCCAGCACTGACTGACACATAGTGACTCTGAAACAGGGGGTTTTGGTAAATGAGGATGATTGTAATAAACTACAAAGACTACGGTATACTATCTGTAAAGTGCTGTGAGATAACATCTGAATCAATAAAAAACTGATTTGATTAAAGAAAGGTTTGTACTACAGAGCTGTATTATGATGCACGTTATATATATTTATTACATGGTTTAGTTGAATACTCGATTCTGATTGGTCAATTCAGAACACGTGACACGTTGTTAATCCAGAACAGACAGACCGCTGTCAAGGATTTATGACCGTTGTTAAGGACGCTCAAATCTGCAGAAAGAAGTCCGGTCGATTGAACTGTATACAGTTTGGCTCGAACTGACAAGACAAGAGACGCTCAGAAAGAAGTTCGGTCATTTAACTGTTTTTCAAATTTAACAGTTTGAAAAGCAAGCAAACTGTCTGCTTGTCTTTAGTTTTCCGCTGTCGTGTGATAGCAACATGGAGGATTTTAACATTAATTTTAATATATTTGGAGAGCACAGTAATTTGGAGGAATGGTTAGTGGCTGATGAGTCCCCAGTGAAGAAAAGAAAAAGACAAGAGGGACAAGAAAACAGCGGAGGAGTAAGAGAGGCGAAAAGACACCGAGATTTGAATGACAGAGAAATCGACCAAATTGAAGAGGACAGGCATGAATTGAATACAAAACGGAACACATTATGGGCTATGAAACTATTTAAAGACTGGTTGATTGAAAAAAAAGAACCAACAGAGTTTGACAGCTATGGAGCAGAAACCCTGAACACGCAGCTGCGGTCCTTTTATGCAACGGTCCAGACCTCAAACGGCAAAACCTATTCAGTTGCCAGTTACTTGGGCATTAGGGCAGGGATATCAAGAAACTTTCCAAGGTTTGACATTATGAACTGCGCTACGTTTAAAGCAAGCAACGATGTTTTCACATCTGTTGTAAAAAAGCTCCGCAAAAACGGGAAAGACGTCAGCCAGCACCACCCGCCTATCTCAGCTGCGGATTTGCGGCTGCTCAGGGCTTCACAGGCGCTGTCTGTGAACACAGCCGGCGGACTGGTCCGGAAAGTGTGGATGGATGTCCAACTGCATCTTGCCAGAAGAGGCAGAGAGGGATATCGACATTTGAATCAAAACTCTTTTATTTTGAAACTTGATGATCACGGATGCGAATATATATCTCTTGCCCACAACGCCGATACCAAAAAATCATAAAGATCCAAAAGACACGAATAAAGAGAATGACAGAGGTTTTATTTTCGCCGAGCCTGAAAACCAAAATTGCCCCGTTGCCAGCTTCAAAAAGTATGTTTCCCTGTGCCCATCTGACGCCAAAGCCTTCTACCTTCACCCACTAAAAAAGGACCAACAGCTTCTCAACGGTGAATCAGTGTGGTATTCACGTGAGCCCATGGGACATAATTTCCTTGGGCAAATGCTATCCACAATAAGCCAGGCAGCCCAGCTTTCAAAGCGCTACACAAACCATAGCTTGAGAAGCACGGCTGTACAACTGCTCTCTCAGGCTGGTCTTGGATCAAAAGAGATCATGTCTGTGACTGGGCACAGGTGCGAGAGCAGCCTGAAGAGTTACTGGGCTCCAACAATAACCGAAAGGGAGAAATGGAGCAACATCCTGTCCTCCAACCCAGGAAATAGCACCACATCGGGTCAGTGCCTTTCCATGTTGTCTGTCCTTACACACACATTAGCGGTAGCGATACAACTGTGGCAATATTGTTTCCCGTTTTTTTACATGTTGGGAATTGTGCTTTCAGATGTGTCATCTGCGAAACCCCCGCAAGGAGAGAGGATCGAGGACAGAAACGTCGATCTCAATATCCCTAAAGATTTCCCATTCACCATGTCACATTGTACTATTAATGGAAACGTTCAGGTTAATGTTAATTACAGCTAAGGCTAACATGCTAACATGCACAGAGTTAGTTGCTATCGAAGCAGTTCCTGCCGTTGCAACAGCCTAGTTCAAACATCAACAACGGACTATTTTTCGTAGCGGATGAATGTCATTTTAAATCAGTTACAACTATGTTTTTAATCATTAAAAACATTTTCTAAAACAATAAAAGCATTTAAATTAATATTGGGAGTCATATCGTTACTTTGTTGAGAATGTGGCCATGTAATAAGTGGGATAATGTGCAGCGACTTGGTCATTATGGGTAAAAGAACACCTTCATGCCGATCTAGATCCCTCCGCTTCGCGTCGGGCTCCTGATCAGCCTGTCGGTGTTCTTTTACCCATAATGACCGCGTCGCTGCACATTATCCCTTACATATATATATATATATATATATATATGTATATATATGTGTGTGTGTATCATCCCATCATCTCTACTGTGCTTATTTATGCACCATGTTGTGTTTTATTGACCCGTGTTGCAGTGAAATATCAGACGTTGTGTAATGAATTCTAAATAAAGTTTCCACACAAAGTTCAGTTCAGAGTTTTATTTTAAAAATAGATTCAAATAAATAAAGATAAAAGACAATTAAATAAAAAAGTGCTATCATTCCCAGGACAGGAGGTGTTCTTCCCCTTCGCTGTCTTGAACCGCCCCTTCAGCTGCCTCTCCCGGTGTCTGGGAGGGTAGACGGCTCGGGCAGGCGTTGCCAGAGGGCCATGAGTTCGTCCACCCTCTTGTCAGAAAGCCCCTGAAGGCTCCTGGCTTCCAGCAGGGCCTTGGCCAGCTTCAGGACATGCTGGTATCCTGGCTGGCCATCAGGACCCTGCATCTCCTCCTGAGGAGAAAAGGAAGGAGGGAGGAAGAGAGAAGTGCTGCTGTGAGCAAAGAGTCTTGAATACATATTATTATTATCATTATCATTATTGATGCCCTGTGACCACCCGCCGACCTTCTTCTTGCATAGACGGCACTCCAGGTACTCAGTGGCCATGAGTTATTTTACTGTGTACTTTTTCAGTTATTCTCTGTCAAACTCCTGTGGCAGAAAATCATTTTATCTCTCATCAAATATGGCAGAAAACATTTATTATTGTACTCAGGAGGGGAGTTTGACAGAGGATTACTTTAAAAGTACACAGTAAAAGTACTTCATTGTAGGCTACTTGTGGTAGAAGTCCAACGAGTACTGAGTCCAACAGTACCAATGTCATTAAGAACTTATGGCAGAAAATCATTTTATCTCTCATCAAATATGGCAGAAAACATGCAGTTTGACAGAGGATTAAAACTGTAATCAGAGCCCTCTCATCTGAGCTCCGTTACACACACACAGGAGCGGGACATCCTCCTCAACCTGTCCGCCATAAATGCCTCAGAGGACGGATACCTGAACCGTAGCGTCCAGCTAGCTTAGCCGCTAGCTTAGCGATAAATACACACAGCGTTGTATTCTCCTCCCCCTGTCGGCCCTAAAAGCTTCAGAGTGCGGATACCTGAGCTCCGTAGCGTTCCGCTAATGTGAAACACACACACACAGCGTTAGCGGGACATTGTCCTCCCCCTGTCGGCCCTAAAAGCTTCAGAGGGCGGATAGCTGGGCTCCGTAGCGTCCCGCTAGCTTAGCCGCTAGCTAAAGGTAAACACACACAGCAGTTCATCAGCGGTTCACAAAGTACCGTACAAACACCACGGTTAACTCAGTATGACTAATCTCGGACATAGAAGTGCGTTTGTAACAGTGTTTACACGCGTATTTGCTAATAATTAATGCACATTGTACTCACAGTGTCGCTTGGTTGAAGTCAGTCAGTGTGAAAAAACAATGGCGGACGGAGGAGAGATTGCTGAGAATTATGGAACAAATCCGCCTCACCGATTGGACGCCAAAAGCCCCAAAAGTTTGATTCTCTCTTATGGAACATATCCGGCCTCCCTATTGGGCGAGATATGGAACCAAGCCTGGACAGCCATTGGTCAGAAATTGGAACATTGGAACAGAGAAGAACAGAGGATACTGCCCATTCTTCTCTATGAAAGCAGGGGGGCAAGGAGAGGAAAGGGGGCCTAAAAATTGAAAAAATAAAATAAAAAAGTGAAAGTGGGTCTGCGGTTCGATCCCCAGCTGTGGCAGAGATGAGGAAGAGCTCCCCTCTCAGCCATGACAGCCAGCACTGACTGACACATAGTGACTCTAAAACAGGGGTTTTTGGTAAATGATGATCATTGTAATAAACTACAAAGAGTACGGTATAGTATATGTAAAGTGCTGTGAGATAACATCTGAATAAATAAAACTGATTTGATTAAAGAAAGATTTGTACTCAGTGGCGAGCCGTCAGGGCCCTCTAGGCCCTCTATGAGGGCCTAAGATATTCCAAAAAATAATATTTAAAAACATTAAAAAAATATATATATATTTTAAATATATATTTTTTTAATATTATTTTTGTTATATTTTTCATTAGTTTTACCGAAAAAAAACTTGATTTAATTGTATTTAAAATAACATTTCCAAAGAAATAAATCCTTCGAATCTGCCTGTTCATTCTCTGTTTGAATGTAGGGGTTACATGAAAGAAGTTCGTCTGGCCCTCTCTGCGATTCACAGAGGGCCCGCTATGGAGCTAATTTCCTGCCATAACTCCACAAACAAACTAAACAGGTTTTACAAATGCCTTATGATTCACTAACAAACACAATGTGGTTTGCAAATACAAAACACCATCTACAAACTAATGAATTTAGTTTTGCAAAGAAAAAACATATCTATCAAACAAACACATAACATTTTTCTAATAAATCATGTTTCAGAGACAAATTCAGCTTAGGTTTTACAAGTACACAACTTTTTTTTACAAGTGCACAAATTTGTTTTACAACTACAACACTTTGTTTTACAACTACAAAACTTTTTTTTACAAGTGCACAAATTTGTTTTACAACTACAACACTTTGTTTTACAACTACAAAACTTTTTTTTACAAGTACAAAACTTTTTCTTCTCACGGCGGAATATTACTGCCAAAAGTCACGTGACTGAGTCACGTGACTTTTGGCAGTAATATTCCGCCGTGGTTGTGCTCATACACACTCACACATGCTCACTCACACATGCTCCACGGCAGCAGGGGGCACTACTGAGTCCATTGGGAAGGCGGGAGGTTGAGCAGAGCATGGAACAGCTCTTGCCAGCCTGATCATGACAGCGGTGTTTCTAGCGATCCAGCATCTGAATTTAGCGATCACAACGAAAACAGCCAAGACACATATTGAGCCCAGAAAATGAATGTTCTTAGGGCTGTAAATATAATAAGCCTTTGTCTAAAATAGACAACATTGTAACTAAGGAGATTTAAACTATACAGCGATTCTGCACTCGGTCAATCAGCTGCTCTTCATTTTCTTTCCTGCTATATTCAATGAGTGATACAAATATTTTTTACCATACGTTCTGAATAAAACTGATACTGTTGGACTCGGTACTAGTTGACTGCTACCAGAAATAAAAGGAAGTACTTTACTGTGTACTTTGTGAGTAATCCTCTGTCAGAGTCCCCTCCATAGTACATAATGCATGTTTTTTGCTATCTTTGATGAATGATAAAAGGGTCATTCCAGAATTGGAGGACAATTTAGACACCAACATTTTTGAAAAATGAACCTTTCATTTGATTATTTTTTGTTATGTATTTAGGAAAAACAGATAATAAACCATAAAAAAAAGTGATTTGCCCAGCTAAGGCATCAAATGTATATTTTCCAATGAAGAATTAACCCTGTTACTCTAATTATAGTAACAGGGTTTGAAGTAAGAAGATATGATTCTACACTGTATTGAAGTAAACATGTATTGTTTGAACTGTTTTATGTAATCACAACGGTTTGGGTAATTATATATAGAATAGGAATGTTATTCTCACTTTTAAATTCACTGGCTCAGAGATTCTGTGTTTCAATACACCAACATCCTTCTTATCATCCCTAAAAGCCAGATGCGGCTGTTAAGTCGTTAAAGACACATCGTTAAATAGGTGAGGAAGAGTTTAAATGTCTGAAGGAGGATAGTTTAGGTGAAAATATCCCCTGGGAAAGGAATGTAGAGTAAGATAAGGTAAAGATAAACATTGACTTTTGACCTTATGGAACTTTATGGTCCGAACTCTGATTGAACCAGACCAGAAGCGAATCCAGCCAGTCAGGGCACTTGGGGGAGGTGGTCAGTTTAAACAGCTCCTCCCCAGGGGCTCTCTAATTCGCTTGGGAGAAAAGTGGGAAGGAAGAATCGACAAATCTCCGCCCCAAAGACAGATAGAAATACTGATGTTTGTGTGTGTAAAAATGCTTTTTTGGTTTGGTGAGTGGCAGGTCCTGATAACTGTGTCCGTATCGCATCACAAACCTGAAGTCCAATTTCTTTTTGGTTTGATGAGTTGGCGGGTCCCGACGCATTTATCCGCATCGCATCACAAATCTGAAAGTCCGGAGTACTCGAGTACTCTGTATAACTTGTATATGTGTTTGGTTTCCTACTAGAAGTAAACTCAGATAATTTGTTATAACTTTGATTCCGGTGTTTTCAATTCCTTTCTTAATTTAATAGAGATCCAGCCTCATCCAACGAACGGCGCGTAGCAGAAGTGTTCTACTCCAACAGGTTGCAAGTAACAGGGTTGAAAATCAATGCTAATTTTAGCTTTTACCTCAGGAATTAATGCTAGCTGCACAATGTAATGCTATTGTCAAGGAATGGACACACTTTATATTATATTTATATTTATATATATTTAACAAAAGAAAGATACATTTGAAATTAATTTGTTTTTGTTTCATAATTTGAGTAACAGGGTTGCGTTTGTATGAGTGCCACACTCCTTCAAGAGTGACAAGATTGGAAATATATTACAAATAAAAGAGAGGACTTAGTTTTGGTCTACCCATGGTAGTAGCACATGGCTTGCTGATGTCCTTTCCACTGTGTCATGCGACAAACAGTTTTTTCACTTCCTCTGCCAAGCTAAAAAGGTTTCGGTAACAGGGTTGCGCGCATGTTGAGGGACACACCTTCTGTGCAAAATTACTGTTATTTAAAATGTGTTTATGATTTAACAAATTGATTTTACCATTACAAGACACATATATCAATAGAATAATACCAAAAAAGTAAATAAAAACCCTATTTTAAATGTTATAGTTGACATGCAAGTTGGTCACCAAGAAGCTGGGACAAGAGAAAAGGGCAATTTTAGGGGGTGTTCGAGAGCTATTTGATATTTTAAATAATATTTTGAAACCACTTTTTCTACAACTTTATATGCATCTTGTCTCAAGACAAGTATATTTAACACAACAAGTGCATGTCTTAGCTTTTTGGGCATGGATTATTAGATTTTTTATATGGGGGACATGAAATGTCCTCCAATTCTGGAATGACCCAAAAATAAAATGTTACCATTAGTTCTTAATGAAATTGATACGGTTTGACTTTGTATTAGTAAGCCTACTACTAACAATACATTGAAGTACTTTTACTGTGTATTTTTTTGAGAAATACTCTGTCAAAGTCCCCTCTTGAGAACAAAATCAAGCCACTTCTTCTAAGTTTGATGAGGGAAAAAAATATTTTTTGGGTGATTTAATGGGTGATGTAACATTAATGACAGACATAATATGAGGTCCTTGGCACTCTAGAGGGGTCATTTTGTGATCATGGGGCATCACCCTTACAGCATCAGGACAATATCATATGGAGTCAGATACTGGAAGTGGGCTGGAGGCGTTAACTGGGACTGATGGAAGGATGAGGCTGATGAGACTGAAGAATCTGCGAGGAACGAACTAGCGGCAGAGGAATAATTATATATTAAAAGACAGCAGCATCATAAGAGGGCAACCATGTGACAGAGTGTGTTACTTTACTGAAGGATATTTGTGAACAGCTATCCATTCCAGGCCAGACTCTAAAGACTTTCCAAGGTGTGAAAATGCTGCTGCCGGAGTACTGACTGGAAGTATTGCTGATATCATGTCTACCATCCTCTTAAAATACTCTGTCCAACAATATCAGTCTCAGGAAGAAATGTTTTTTAACGCTTATTAAAAGAAAAACATGCATTCTTGTACTCAGGAGGGGACATTGACAGAGGATTACTGGAAAAGTACACAATAAGTACTTCATAGTACTTGTGGGGGTAGTATCAGTAGTACTGAGTCCAACAGGATCAATCTCACGAAGAACTAATGGCAACAAAAAAGAATTCCCTCATCAAACTTAGCAGAAGTGGCTTGATTTTGTTCACAGGAGGGGACTTTGACAGAGTATTTCTCAAAAAATACACAGTAAAAGTACTTCAATGTATTGTTAGTAGTAGGCTTACTAATATAAAGTCAAACCGTATCAATTTCATTAAGAACTAATGGTAACATTTTATTTTTATCATTCATCAAAGATAGCAAAAAACATGCATTATGTACTATGGAGGGGACTCTGACAGAGGATTACTCACAAAGTACACAGTAAAGTACTTCATTTTATTTCTGGTTGCAGTCAACTAGTACCAAGTCCAACAGTGTCAGTTTTATTAAGAACTTGTGGTAAAAAATATTTGTATCACTCATTGAATATAGCAGGAATAAAAATGAAAAGCAGCTGATTGACCGAGTGCAGAATCGCTGTATCCAGGGGCGGACTGGGACAACAAATCAGCCCGGGACTCTCGACCGGCCCACTTCGGTACCGCCGGCCCACCTCGGTACCGCAAGTAAGCGGCCCACCTCGGTGGTGCCGCAAGTAAATACCGCGAGGAAATTGTCGACGGGGGGAAAGGGGGGGTGAGCAGTGACTTATCCGACCGGCCCACTTCAGTACCGGCCCATCGGGATTCGTCCCGAACGTCCCCTGGCTGTATATATAGTTTAAATCTCTTTAGTTACAATGTTGTCCATTTTAGACAAAGGCTTATTATATTTACAGCCCCTAATAACATTTATTTTCTGGGCTCAATATGTGTCTTGGCTGTTTTCGTTGTGATCGCTAAATTCACCTTGTTTATAATATTATCACTATAACACCTGTCATCAGACTGGCAAGAGCTGTTCCATGCTCTGCTCAACCTCCCGTCTTCCCAATGGACTCAGTAGCGCCCCCTGCTGCCGTGTAGCATGTGTGAGTGAGCATGTGTGACTGTGTATGAGCCAGCCACGGCGGAATATTACTGCCAAAAGTCACGTGACTCACTCACGTGACTTTTGGCAGTAATATTCCGCCGTGAGAAGAAAAAGTTTTGTACTTGTAAAAAAAAGTTTTGTACTTGTAAAACAAAGTGTTGTAGTTGTAAAACAAATTTGTGCACTTGTAAAAAAAAGTTTTGTAGTTGTAAAACAAAGTGTTGTAGTTGTAAAACAAATTTGTGCACTTGTAAAAAAAAGTTGTGTACTTGTAAAACCTAAGCTGAATTTGTCTTTGAAACATGATTTATTAGAAAAATGTTATGTGTTTGTTTGATAGATACGTTTTTTCTTTGCAAAACTAAATTCATTAGTTTGTAGATGGTGTTTTGTATTTGCAAACCACATTGTGTTTGTTAGTGAATCATAAGGCATTTGTAAAACCTGTTTAGTTTGTTTGTGGAGTTATGGCAGGAAATTAGCTCCATAGCCCGCTATAGTAACTGAACGAGAGAGTAATGTCAAATGACAGTACAATTGACCAATCATATCTTCCCTCTAAATGGGTGGGTTTTATTATCGCGGACATTATGACAAGTTCCGCCCGCTGTGAAACTTTTCTTGTTTCCATAGCAACAACAACTTCCTGTCAACAGCGTGAACTCGCCTTCAAAATAAAAGCATGCCAAATTACACTTAAGACATACAACGGCAACGAAAGTAACAAACACAATGCAATATCATTTTCAATGTCAAAGAACACAAATTGGGTTCACAGGTGTTGTTTTGTGTGGTAGAGGGTCGCTGTCATTGATGCGTTTTGCACCCTGGGCCGATGTTTTGATATTCCGCTGAAGTATACGCTGTGACGTAATAACTCTTTTTTTTTCTTTTTTCGAGGGAAGGGGTGGGGGTCAGAGGGCCTAGGTATAAAGCTCACGGCTCGCCACTGTTTGTACTACAGAGCTGTATTATGATGCATGTTATATTTTATATATATATGTCTGTATCATTTCATCATCTCTACTGTGCTTATTTATGCACCATGTTGTGTTTTATTGACCCGTGTTGCAGTGAAATATCAGACGTTGTGTAATGAATTATAAATAAAGTTTCCACACAAAGTTCAGTCCAGAGTTTTTATTTTAACAACAAAAATAATAACCATAATAATACAATATTTTGAAAAGAAATGTGCATAACGAGTACTTTTACTTATTGTACATTTAGCTGATAATACTTCTGTAGTTTGTTATTCTGAAATGGGTCATATTGCAGAGTACTTTCTACATTATGTACTTTAATTTATCCTGACACATTTTTACTTTTACTTAAAGGTAGGGTAGGTAAGTTTGGGAAACCGGCTCGAGATACACTTTTTGTTATATTCCATGGAATGCTCTTAACATCCCGATAGCAATGAATATCTTAAGTGCTTTGACAAAAAATCCATTAAAAAATGTCATCTGTGGAAGCCGTAGTACTGTAAAAAGTACGACCAATCATTTTAGCCGGCCCGGCTAAAATAACTGGATGGCCTACCTGCCTGTCAGCCTTCCATCTGTGCACAAACTTATCTCGTGCCCTCATTGGTCATGTGCGCATTCGCGTGTGTTGGAGGAGGGGCTCTGTAAGGAAGTGGCAGATTTTCTCCGGTTGTGTATTTTCAAATTCTAGCGATCTCGAGCCGGTTTCTCAAACTTACCTACCCTACCTTTAAGTAATATTTTAAAAACAGGGCGGTAACCCATTAAATAATATACATATACAAGCACATGACATACAACACATTGGGCAAATAGTAAAAAACAATATCATAACTCCGTTCACAGTGTTGATGGAACATTTTAATCTGAATAAATCCCTCTTCCTCTCCTATATGCAATTACAATCAAATATTAAAAACTTAACATCAAAAGGTATAAAGATAGGTTGTCATGAACACCTTGATATGAACCTAAAAAGACTTGCAAACAAGAAAGGAATGATTTCAGGTATATATAAACTTCTCCTCACCTCAACCGCCAATACTAATCTGCAGTCACAGAAAAGATGGGAGCAGGATTTAGGCATCACCCTTACACCAGTTGAGTGGGACAGAATCTGGTCGAACTCAACATCAATCTCCAAGTGTGTCCGGTTTAGAGTAATACAGTTAAAAATCCTTCACAGAGCATACATCACACCCTGTAGACTCAAAAAGATGGATCAAACACTCGCGGGCCTATGCTGGCATGGTTGTGCGGAAGTGGGTACCCTTTTACATTGTCTTTGGTCCTGTCCGGCTGTAAAATCTCTATGGGACGTAGTTGGAGATACTCTCGCTGAGATTCTGAACATAGAGATACTCTTAACTCCAGCTATGCTTGCTGGGATCCCCGCTCAATGGCATAACATCAACATTTGCAAGTAAACTTATGACGCGTTTCCACTACAGCGCGGAGCACGGTTTAAGAGGGCTGTGACGTCAGCGGCCCGTTTTTAGTTGCGTTTCCACTTGGCCTAGTACCGGCCGGCGGGTCCTAATTCACAGTTTTTCTGGCCTCATAAAATCGTGGTTCTAGGGCCAGAGACAACGAGGCTGAGTCGGGCTGAGTATGCTAAACTAGAGAGAGAATCGCTGGCAAGGGGGCTACAACTACAACAAGATGGACATATTTGACCGTGATTTAATTGTAATACACGTTTCAAAATGATGCCGAAGTAACAACATACTGATACCGGTTAGTAAAAACCATGAATTAATGCTTTGTCAAGTCTGCAGACAGACGGCAGGCGAAAAACCTTTTAAAATGCGTGTTGTCTAAATGGAGATTGGCTAAGCTAACGCAGTATATGCTCCGACCGTCCACACTCACAACAACGGCCTATACAGACATAAATAAAGCAGCGACTGTATTCACCATGACACAGGCAGTCTGTGGTTTGTACTTGTTTAACTTTTGTCTAGTTTCTGAACATATATGAGGAGCTGTGAGCTCTGAGTGCTAACAGCTAACGGCTGTGTTGTTTTTCTGGGGTTCTCATTGAAGATGACGTCACGGCTCCGCCTACACTGCGTTACTATAGATACTACCCCAGTTCCTAAACTGTAATGGAAATGCGCCATAAAGTGAGCCAGTCCTAACGAGGCCTAGCCATACCGAGCGAGGCCGAGCGAGGCCGTGTAGTGGAAATGCGCCATTATAGCCCTAGCATGCCTTTCAACTAAACGCCTCGTTCTTATGAACTGGAAAGTCAGAAAGCCCAACTGCTTCAATTTCAATAGATGGCTGGAGGACTTCCTAAACATCTGAAGTATGGAAGAAGCTGCTTTCTCCCTGTTATATTTGGTTAAGCCAGACAACAGGCTTTGGGATAAGATAAGGGCTTTCCTGGACTCAAACCATCTCGGCTGCCAACAATAAATATAATAATATTAATTAATAATATTAATAAATAAATATAAATAAAGAGAAATAAGCTATGAATAAACAGTAACGGTAATAATAATGAAAGAAGCGAAATTAAATGGGAAATGGATGAATAGGTGAATTAATCATAAAAGGAAGAGGTGTGTGTATATGTACATATGTGTGCATATATATATATATATATATGTATTTATTTATTTGACTATTTATCTATTTATTTACCTATTAAACAATGAAGTATACCTATATTATGAAGCAAATCATGTATAAATACAACGCCATATGCATACATCAAATGTAACTGACACTGTAATCCCCCTACCCCCCACCCTTCATGTTATGTCCTGTCCAACTTGTAATGTGTGTGAGCCATGTCCTTGTCCGTGTGCTTTTGTCTTTTGAAAATGTTTAATAAAATATAAATGTTGACAAATATGACATGTTTGTATTATAATTATTATTGCATTATTGTCAATGTTGTACTTGGTAAATTAAATGTCTTGATAATCAGAGCAGTGATTTGGGGTTTGGTTGTGTTGGGGATTTGTTTGAAAAATTATTTAAGCTGTTTTCAGGCATGGAAGATTAATATGTTTTTCTCTCAAGTTTTCTATTGTCAGATTGGACACATCCCAAATCGCTTGATGGTTTCAGACCTGCACTGCACACTGTAATAGTACTGGTAGAATATTTAAGCTTGGGTAAATTCATTTTTGAAAAAAACAATTGAAAGGGCAAAGTATTATATTTATTACAGGTTTCCAATTTACCCATTGAAAAAGGGTGAAAAACAAGTACATGCTCCTTTAACTGTACGCTGCAGAGATCACCTCACATAACAGAGAAAGATTAACATTATGTCCATATTAGTGTTTTTCAATGCTAAAACACATTTTTTAAAAGCAGGGCTTATTTTCTCAAAACACTAAACACAATTCACAAAACCATACACACAAAGTGCAAAACACCCAAAACTACATAAACACTTACCAAAACCAAACTTTTGCACCAAATGGCACACACTTCATTCATAGTACAAGACATTTTGTAAAACCAACTACACACCATCGTGCTCAAGCACACTGATCTTTTATGGCGTTTGATATAGAGAATTCAGCAAGTAAAGATTGTTCAAGTCGACAAAAAAATATGTGCAGAAACTTTTCAAAAGGTGGAAAGTAGAATTGCAAATTGGGTGCAGAGCTGAAAATGTGTTAAGAGTTTTGGAGATTTGAGCTGAGGTTTTGCTCTTTGAGTGTCAGTTTAAATAATGATGCTTTTTGTGTCATTTTAGTGTGCACAACTTTTTTTGATTGTTACACTTACATGTTCTTTATATAGATTTGATGTAAAAGAAACATGTTGAATCAAATAAATAAACACACTGTCATTCAGATCGATTAGTAGCCTACTTCTGTTTCTTTTGAGAGGGGGCATACTGATGACATTTGTCACAATACCAGCTTCCTTTGGGGGCAACTGTTATACCAACACGTTCAAAATGAAACCAGGTAGTTTCACAATTTGTGTTATCACATTCTATCATGGGAAGCTTTTCCTCTCCACGACAAAGGCACCATTTGGGTATCAGTGGTTGGGTATCGGTTGGCTGAGTCAGACTGGAGCGGGGTCTGGTATCAGGCACAGAGGCCTTTTTGGTGCAGTAATGGAGACTGGTGTAGTTGCACTGGAAATTCTGGTGAAGAATTGCCCACTCAACTCGAGGAGAATGACCTTCTGAAAAAATTCATGAGCTTTGGGGTATACCTTCTCCCAAAAGTCAATATCTGGGGTTATGCGTTCAAGATGAATCTTTCCATTCACCCACAGAACAAAGTCAGCATATTCAACATCACATAGAAATAACTGGGTCTGCACTTGACAAAAATAGGCATGGGTCTTCTTCAGCCTGTCCTGTCCATCACGTGATTCCAGGCATGTATGGTCTAACGGTGCAGCAACACAGTAGGGGCATTTAATTTCCAAAACACCTACACCACAGCACTTGCAGGACACAACACCATCTGGAGTAGCACCTAAATATGGAAATGTTGGCGATAACACGAGCCCAGAGTCCTGGCAAATGAAACCGCCATGTCGGTTCATAATTGCAATGTAATCTTCACGTGCTGATTTCTCGTGATTATATCCCCATTCAGTAGCTGCAGTTTTAAATGTTGTGGCTTCCGGGTAACAAATAGCTTTAATCAAGCTAAGCGATGGTTTAGTTGCACTTGTTGAACATGCTGCCTTCATACGAGATGCTGTAATCCGCCCAGCTCTGTATCGATACCAGAGTTTGGATTTGGCCTGTGTTTTAGTGGCCTTCTCAATGACATCCGCCTCCGGCTTGGTGATAGCTGCATTGATCCCTTGGCAATGTTCTGTAAGGGCTTTATGGTCCATTTCTAGGCAGTGAACGGCACTCGCTGGGAGTACTTCGGCCAGGGGCCGGGGGGGTGGTGCCACAGCTGGAACTCCGGGGACAGGACGGGCCTCCCTTCTTTGTCAGCCACAAACAGAGCCCTGCTGACCCACTCGTGCTGCTCTGCAGGGAGGGCTGCTCATCCAGGCTGCCGGCAGGAGCAGCTGCAACACACACACAGGTCACTGAGCTGCAGCTTTAAACTACACACTGATACTAGATGTTTATAACAACATTATTACAGGGGGGTAGCCCTGAGGGGTAGGAGCGACTTGTCGTAGTGGAAGTGGTGGAGTTGGCAGAGCTCTCTGCTGGTGGGCAGGACGAGGAGGAGGAGGAGGAGGAGGAGGAGGAGATGCTGTGCACAGCAGAAAAACACACTTGACATACCAAATAGATTTGATTATACAAAGCTTAATAATGACTCGAAGCACAGACTTACCTAAATCAGCCTCCACCTGAGCCGCTGCCCCCACCATCAGATGGTCGTCTTCGTCCTCTGAGGAAGCTGCAGACACAATTTAAAAAATGTTCACTCATCACACATCACCTGACTGACAGTAACACTCCACTGACATGATACACACACAGGACCACTGCCTTTCTCTTCCTCCGCTCTTTGGGGGAGATGTAGTGGAGGGGGAGACAGCTGAGGAGGTGGCAACTGCTGATGCAGCTGAGGAGGCGACAGACTGCTTCTCCTGGTCCCTTCTCTCTATGTATTCTTTAAGCTGCGCCAGTTGGGACCCGGGGCTCCAGACGGACTGCCTCCTGATCCAGTTCCTGTAACTGACATTGAGATTGAGAGGCAACAGTTAGATTAATATCACATCAAGTGTTTCTACAGTTAGTCACACATGGCCTTACGTGAATATGAAATAAGAATAAACATGTAGTAACAGTCTGAATAGAAATAAGAAAAATAACATGAGTAAAAGTTGGTTCTGATTTAAAAGATAATGCTAGCCAACACTTTTCCAACAGCTCAACATTAACCTTAACCTCAGAGGTCTGACTTTAAAAAATGAATGATACTTATTATATTATAATAATAATATTCGCCCTATGGTAGCCTTCATATACATGTTAACTTTAGTACACTACCACATAGTAAATACGAATTACATTTAAAGTTATTACAGTACTTCATTAAATAGCCAAGTGTCTATGACCGTTAACCCTCCGTCCACATCTGTGAACGGATGTGAGCATTAACTTCATGAACATTTACGTTAGTGCAAAGTAAAACAGCATAACGTGTTTGCGTCTAGTAAAGTACGGGAGAAATGCATGTTGACGTAGCCTATCAATCAATCAATCAATCAATCAATCAATAAATATCCCCGTGTCCTTGTTAAAGAAATCAGATCTGGCCCCGGTAATGGTACAAATCTCAACCTGTCGTACAATGGACAGCTTCCCCCCCCCCCCCCCCCCATCTATGTATATACTCGCATTTTAGACTCTGTTACTAACTGTATATCTGTAGACTTGGTATGTCTTAAATGTCCGGTTAGGATGTATTAGAACGAAATCTAAAATGAAAATTGTAAATAAGCCATCTGTATGTAAAAAACCAACTGTATGTAAATTGTAAATAAGCCATCTGTATCTCAAATATGTCTTATATGTCTTAAATGATATGATGAATTGGAAATGGGGGACCCTGATGTAAACAAGACGAAAGTCTTTCTCTGGTCTGCATCCCCTTAACAATTGTATGTTTTGAGCTGTACTGTACTGTACCCAATATACAAGCTGTTAATAAACTTTTCAATCAATCAATCAATCAAGCCTACTGCAAGACTGTACATGGCGGAGTGGCAACTTTTAATCACGAATGGTGCATATAAATGTTAACGTCATAAACGTTAGCGCACAGTAATAAGCATTACATGACAAGTATTTACGGATTCAAACGGCCGGAAAACTCCCGTGTGTTTCTGGCTTAGCGGCAACTTTTTACCAATGCAAATATGCGCGAACGTTAAAAGACAACACATTGGCATTCATCTACTGTTATACTACATTATAAGGGACTGTCTTGTTAAGAGTAATAGCAGAGTTTATCTTACCTTTTCAAAAGCCGGTCTGAGTACTAGAACTAAGTCGGACAACCAATGGGTGGACCACAAGATGAAAACCAAAATGCCATAGAAATGAACGGGAGGGGCGGGACTCTAAGTAAGACTAAGTGAGAGTGATCAGGCCTGCCGCATTCATCATACAGTGACCCCCAGTGGATCTTCTGGGTTGAGAAGGTCTCAGTTGGGGGCCGGAGCCTGTCATCCAATCAGATCAGAGCCCCTTAGATCGATTAAAGCCAGTGTACCAACCACCCAGATCCCCCCACCCCAAATACTCTTTGACACCCCCTGCATGCTTGATATGAAGGTAAAGAGATGTTATGAACTTGTCAAAAGCAAGGAATAAGCAGTCCAGTGGCGTCGCCTGGGGTAGGCATCCGGGGCTTTAGCCCCGGATGTTTTTTCTTTAGCCCCGGACAAATTCTCCCTCAATATAATACATTAACCGTACTTCTTTACCTATAGGACGGCAGATTTGTAATTTCCCGTGTTCAGTGAATGCAACATAGGCAAGCCAAGACACCACCAGACCAATCAGAGAGTTGCATGGAAATAAACGTGTTTTATTGGCTGACAGGTACGTACCTCTCCTCTGTGACAATGTTTAAACTTTAAACTGTCAGCCCCGGACGCGGAGATTCTGAAGATGGACATTAGACATGTTTTCAATAAAAAAGACGGCAATACTCAAGTGGTGGCTCACACAACAACCCCAGAGCCACCACCTGAGCCAGGTGAATGTATGTACATGTCAGTAAACTTACAAGTTATGCGAACATGTAAGCAAAGCATAAATTACAGCTACGTTGACGTTACTTTGAATCGCACGGGTAATCTAAACCGTTAGCAAGTAGCTATAGCGAGCCAGATATATTAAATAAACACTTTGTCATACAATATAAATGTTGTGTTTTTTAGTGTTACCTGGTGATTTCAAAGAAAGCTCTCTGGGAAATGTTGACTTACTGTTCGACAGGAAGCTAGAAGCTACCTTACAGTACACAGTTGATCCTGAGTCCTGTCAGTTAAAGTGTTTCATAGTTAGCTTAGCTAAGCATCAAACTAGCACTGAAATATATGGATGTTATGTGACAGTATTTCTGAGAAAAGTCAGTTTAAATGGTGGCCTAGTTGCCACTGCTTTACTGTCGACAGCACGTTTGAACGTATTTGCAGCAGTAAATGTGGCTGTTTGGCCACTGACGTTGCCATAACACCTGAATTTAAATGTGCAACCTCTTTTTGTGACAGATTTTTGCATGAAATTATAATTCTGATTGATATTTCCTATTGATAGCTAGTTTCTATGTGAACATTATGAGATGGACAGCCAGCTAACAAGCTTTTTATATACAAAGATTTCAGATCAAAGCTAATCCAGTAGGGCTCCTGAAAGGGGACAAGGGACACTATGCTCCCAAATATTAAGCCTCAACCCCCATCTTAAAATTGATATGATCAAAAAATCTGCATTGTCGGAGGCCTTTTTTCCTCATTATCATGTCAAATTGTACAGCTTTCCTTAGTTTTGAATGCAGAAAGATGACTATTCGAGTATTACGTGAAAATGACTATATTTAAGTGTTAAGTAAATATATTAAGTGAATTACTCAAACTGCATTTGTATAGGAATGATTCTCTCCTATTGGCAGATAACTACTAACAGTGATATCTACTGTACAAGAGGTTTCCAATGTCAATTTAACTATTTTCAATTGGTTAGTATTATATTTTGTGACAGTGTGGTGACACACATTTTAATGAAGACAAATTTGTGTATCTTGAAATTCATTTATTTGACAGAGCTGGAAACTGATTTTAAATACTTGTTTGTGTTTACCTACACAGTCATCACAGATGAGCCAAAAATAGTAGAGGATGAAGAAAGGAGAACAGGAGAAAGGGACACACAAGAAGGAGATACAACAGATAAGAACAACAATGAACAGGAACATCAGAACAGACAAGAGTCAATGGGTAACTGGGTAACTGATTTAGGGACTGCAGATACAGGGCCAAGGCAAGTGAGACATCACTGTTTTCCATCCGGCATGTTTGGCCAGCAAAAGAGATCATTTCAACCAAGTTGGTTTGATACTTTTAAATGGGTTGAATATTCTACCACTGCCAATGCAGCATTCTGCTTTAGTTGTAGACTATATGGCAAAGCAATCAAGGGATCAAAGGGACACCCTCACCACCTCAGGATACACAAACTGGAAGCGTGCATTGGATTCTTTTCGAGAACATGAAAATTCAAACATACACAAGGCTCTTCTTTCCAGTTCTCGACAGAATGCTGGAGGAGCTTCAAAACAGGTTTTCTGGAGTTGGGGAAAAAATATTAATTGGCATACAGGCATGTCACCCTCCATGGGGAGGTCGTCGACCGATTTGCGAAGGTCAAACCAAGGCGATTTAGCCTAACACTTCCACCTACAAAACAATAAAGAGTGTGAAGACAGCGAGTGATGATGGGGAGAAAAAACGAAGCAAATGAAAGGTAATGTGATGAAGGAAGCAGCAAGTGAGGAAGGAAGCAAGTGATGAGGGATTATTATTTCCTCCTTCCATCCCTTTTTTCAGTTTAATCTCATTACTAACAACTTCTAATAATTTGACATAGTTTATGATTTAATTGGAAAATCAAGTGTTTTTAAATAATAAACCTGTTTCTGATTCTGAGATTTTTTTTGACATATGGGTGTTGAGAGATGTATAGATCTCTTAATGTTGCTCTCAAAGTGCACCAGATTGATGCTTTTAACTTCAATATTTAAAAAAAATCTTCCTGGGGGAGTTCCCCCCAAAAATAGTACTTTACCTCTGCTTATGTAACTCCGGTGTAGTGTTCCCTCGGCAACAGATCACTCACAGTTGGTGATTACTTTCCTGCATTTCAATGGACAGCATATAAAAAGGACACGTGAGCTTCATTGCTTAAGAGATCCTCACATGCCATCTCCTTAAAAAAACAAGTGTCCAGTCAACAACAAAACATCAGTGATCGTATAGTGGTAGTATATTTTTCATAAGCAATGTGAAACATTAAACTTAAAAAAAACTGGTGTACAAAACTCGCATACCTGCGTTGATCTCCTGGAGTGTCTCTACTCTTTCTTCTCCACCATTAGAGATTGCAAACATTTCAGAAACAGCTAGAGGTAGGGGACAAATAACTTGTTCGCTGGGCATGTCAAAAACCTCCCTGCTTTGATCAAGACTTTAGGGAGCCTTTCAGCCCCTCTGGCAAAGGGGCTGGAAAGCAAGTTTTGCAAATGCAGTACCATCTACATCAGGGGTGGGCAATTATTTTTTACAAGGGGCCACTTCAGAAACTCGAGCTGTGTTGGGGGGCCGAATCAAAAATAAGTTGAACTTAATTCTGCTCAATATACCAATACTGAAAAGGTGTTTTACAGTATGTTAAAGATAAGAAATGAATCAGCTTTATACAAAAAGAAATTAGTGCTTTTGATTTTTGTTTTTCAGTTAATTTGACTTGTTCAGTGAGAAAAATCCAGTCTGTCTTGGGCTTGAACAAGTGCACGGAAATCTGGTTCAATGTCTGAGGTGGATATGCGAAGGACAGCTGAGAGGTGATCATCAGTGATAGAGGATCTGTATCTGGATTTGTTGAACTTCATCACTGAGAATGTCTGTTCACATATGTAGGTAGATCCAAAGAGGACCATCATCTTCTGAGCACGTCTCCTGATGTGTGGAAAGTTCTCCTCTTTCAGGGAAGCGTAAAACTCAGGCAGTGAGACTGACCTAAAGTGCTCTGACAGAAGTGTGTCAGACTGCAGGTCAATGAGTTCAAGATGAACATCACTGGGAGCATCATCCGCATGGCATGTAAATGAGGAAAAGATCATGTTCATTTCATTCTCAACTGTTTTGAAGTCTTTAAATCGCCTTGAAAACTCACCATGCAGTGCTTCTAACATGGATGAGTACCTCTGGAGGTGATCAGCTGATGGTGTGGCTTCCTTCAGTGTTGGCAAGTGCGTGAGAATGTTGTCCTCCATTTGGCTTGAGAGAAGCTGCAGCTTTCTTATGAAAGCCTTCACTGCACTGTACATGTCATGCACAAAAAGGCCCTTGCCTTGCAGTTTGACATTTAGTTCACTCATTAGTGCAGTCACATCTACAGCAAAACCAAGGTCTGGCATCCAGTCTGCATCTGAAAGCTGTGGGATGTCGTTTCCTTTCTTCACACAGAAGTCTTGAATCTCTTCTCTCAGGTCCCATACTCTTTTCAGCACTTTGCCCAGGCTGAGCCACCTGACAGCTGCATGGTAGGGTATGTCACGATGTTCAGTCTCACTTTCCTCCAAAAGTGCAACAAACTGTCTGTGATTCAATGCTCTTGCCCTGATGAAGTTAACTATTTTAGTTACAACATCAACAACATGGTTAATTTTTAACACTGACTTACACAACACTTCCTGATGTATAATACAATGCAAAAATACCTATTTCTGCTCAGGGTTAATTTCTGTCACTTTATCCTGCATTCTCTTCAATAGTCCAACATCTTTCCCTGTCAGATTTGGACAACCATCCGTTGTCACGCCTGCCAGCTTGTCCCATTTCAGTCCCAACTTTTCCACACATGCATTTACCTCCGTGAACAAATCACTCCCTGTTGTTGTACCTTTCATTGACTGCATGGCTGCCAGCTCCTCCGTGATTTTGAAGTCTGTAGTTATCCCACGTAGGAAGATGAGTAGCTGGGCAGTGTCACGTACATCGCAGCTCTCATCCAAAGCCAAGGAAAAAAAGTCAAAGTTGACCGCTCTGTTCTGCAGCTGAAGCTCCAGATTTCCCGCGATGTCCTCAATTCTCCTCGTAACAGTGCGTCGGGAGAGCGGCACTTTCTCAAATGCCTCCTTTTTCTCCGGGCATATTAGTGTCCAACAAACACTCCTTAATGAACTCTTCGTCCGAAAACGGTTAACTTTTAAGACATAACTCGTCTTGACAGCTGCATCTCTGGATGTGGAATGTTTTGTGGAAATGTGTTGTTGGCTTTGCAGCTTAGCAAGCAAAGCATCCCCGACTTTGCCCGCTCTTCCTCAGACAGGTTCTTGTATTTATCTGCGTGTTTGGTAGCATAGTGGCGACTCAAATTGTACTCCTTGAACACAGCGACCTGCGCACCACAAACTAAACACACAGCTTTACCTTTCACTTCTGTAAATAAATACTTAGCGGTCCATGTCTTGTTGAAAACGCGGCATTCAGTATCGATCTTTCTTTTTTTGCCCTTAGCGGACATTGAGGACTAGCCGGCCAGCATCACTCGTAGCTGTTACGGCATGCGCGTTTACGTAAATAAATAAAAAAAACAGCAGCTTCCTTTTCAAAATAAAAGCAACACAGTTAGAAAAGTATTTACGCCATGCAAGCAATACAGCTGTGTTGCTTTTATTTTGAAAAGGTTGCTGTTTTTTTTCATTATGTTATAATTTATGATCAACCTCACACGGGCCGGCCAAGGCCGGCCAACGGGCCGGATGTGGCCCGCGGGCCGTAAAATGCCCACCCCTGATCTACATGCTTGTCCTGTTCCAGACACTGCTCTCAACCACTCAGGGCCTGCACAAATACCTGCAGAAAGAAACAATTGACTTGGTGCAGGCAGTAAATTACAAAACAGCAGTTGAGAACACACTGAAAAGTTACAGAAGTGACGAGAAAGCAAGACCAAGGCCCTGTGCAATGATCTTGATATTCCCGAAACTGTGACACAGAGGAAGAAGCGTAGAAACATGGAAGACTTTGTAGTCGAGGCATCGTGTGGAGCAGCTCTCCCATTAGCTTATTAGCTCAGATTAGCTATTGATGATCACGTTGATAAATCATATAAAACCAATAGCCAAACACACAAAAAACATGCTGCTGTGTGAGCATTAAACGATTAACATTAAACTAAACAAACACAACAAAACGTTATAGTCATTATAAAATAAAAACATACATTTTGTCCACCAAAATAATACAGGCACCTTACCCTCGAGAGATCCTCACATGTTATGAGAATCTCCCACAATCCATTGCCGTAACAAAGCTAATGCAGGCACACGTTTGTTTGTGACACCAGATGGCGTAATTCTTCTTCTTCTTCTTTTATTTAATGGCGAATCTTCTTCTTCTTCTCTTCGTTTTTTGGCGGATTGCAAACAACTTAAAAGGTGCACACCGCCACCTACTGTACATGAGTATGAATCATCATATCATACCAACTCTTTAACCTATGATCTAATCAAAATAAATAAATAAATCAACAAAAAACAAAAAACAAAACATGAAATAAATAAAACAAAAATAAAAATCTATGTTCTTTCTTGACCTAATGTTAAATTCTTTTTCCTACCCCAGTTTCACTCAAGAATGTAAACAGTGCCTTTCTGGTAGCTCTTACTCCCTCTCCTTTTGTTCCCAAAACACCAACCACACTCCATTCCCTCTCTGCCTCTAAAACTTTAGCCTTTAGTTTTTCTCTTTCCGCTTTATATATGTCACAATGTATCAAGATATGTTCTACATCTTCTTTTACTCCACAGTTCCCACACTTGTCACTGTCACTTTTCCCCATGACATACAGCGTACCATTCAATGCTGTGTGATTTATTCTGAGTCTAGCGATCGTGATTTCCTCCCTTCTGTTTCTTTCTTTATAAATATGAATTGTAATTGTCTTTTGTACTTTGTGATATTCTTTGCCTTTCTGGTCTTTCTCCCACCTTTTCTGCCAAATCTCCATCCCTTTCTTCTTAATTACTGCTTTTCCTTCTCCTTTTCCAAGTTGAACTGGTAATGTTATTTCCTTTTGTAGTGCACTTTTTGCTAATTTATCAGCACACTCGTTCCCTTTCACCCCCTCATGTGCAGGCACCCAGCAGAACTGCAGATCTATGCCGCCTCTGTGCAGTCTTAACAGGCTATGATTCAGTTCTATGAGAATGTCTTCTCTGGCAGTTGTTGTTGATTGTATGCTTTGTAATATGGACAATGAATCTGTGCACATCACCACCCTATCTGGTCTGACCTCTTCAACCCACTGTAATCCTATTATTACTGCCAGCATTTCTGCTGTGTACACTGATAATTGATCAGACGCTCTTTTTGCAATAGATATTTTAAATTCTGGGATGTATATACCAATTCCAACACACTCTTCCTTGTTCTTAGAACCATCTGTGTAAATTTGTAGGCAATTGTAATACTTTTCATTCAGATACATACTTGTTTTAATTCCCACTTCATTTACTTGCCACTCTTTTTTCCTTTCTACAATACTCATATCTATTTTAGCTTCTGGGAAAAGCCATGGGGGAACACTGCTAAATGGGGTTGCTTTAGCAAACGTGATATTGTCCACTCCATATGCCCTCGTTCTCTCTTTACTCGTCCAGCCAAACCCACGTCCCTGGAATTTTGCATATTCCCAGCAATCCTGTAATATTCTGTTTGAAATATTTTCTTCTCCACTTCCTTGTAGCCTGACCCAGTATGACAGAGCAAGTTTCTCTCTTCTGATCTCCAGAGGTGTCTCTCCTGCTTCTATCAGAACTGCATTGATAGGGGATGACTTTATCGCTCCAATACACAACCGCAATGCTTTATATTGTATTCTATTAATTTTTAAAAGCGATGTTTTTGCTGCTGCTCCATACACTATACAACCATAGTCTATTGTGGACCTCATAATTGATCTGTAAATGTCTATTAATGCTTGTTTGTCTGCGCCCCAGTTGCATCCAGTTACAGCTCGCAATAAATTTAATACTTTTTTGCATTTTGTTTCCACTTGTTTAATATGCATTTTCCATGTATATTTGCTATCAAACCACAGTCCTAGGTATTTGAACTCATTCACCTTTGTCATTGGACGATCATATAGTGTTAGCTGTTGGCCATCAATCTTGCGTTTGTTTGTGAATACCATGTAGCATGACTTGCTTTCTGACATTTTGAATCCCCAGTTATATGACCACCTATCCACTTGTTTAATCGCTCTAGCTATATTCTCCATTACGTATGGGGCATTTCTTCCCCTCATCCAAATAGCCCCATCATCTGCGTATAGAGCCGATTGAATGCATGTGTCTAAACATGTAAATATATCATTGATCATGATGTTAAATAATATTGGACTGACTGCACTCCCTTGGGGGATACCATTTTCTATTTCAAAATAGTTGGAAATATCTGCTCCAACCTTTACTCTAAATGTCCTGTCTGTTAAAAAGGCCCTTACCCAATTGTACATTCTCCCTCC